TCATTGATACTGATCTCGTTATCGTCCTCGTCTAGAAGACTGCGACTAAATCTCAACGTCCCTTTCAACACATCTCGTACCTAGAAACATGACAAATATGAGTAAGTACATTAGACTAACTTCATACATGACTGCATCAAAGGTTTGAAGGTTTTAAATGATATAACTATGCAGTCAGTCATATTGCATAATTGTGCAGTCTGGCCTGGATCTTTACCGGTCCAATAGGATTTTAATTATAACTAGCATAGATATAGTTATATACACTGGCACCCTGTTTAAATACTCAAGTTGGTGTCAAAGGTCTCAAACAGCAATATAAACAGGGTTCTGATACATAACACCCTATAAAATTACCCTACCCAAATACCAGTAAATTGTCTTCTGAGGTGTACAGGAGCATTACCAGTAAATAATATAGCGATGAAAATTACTCTGGTACTGCAGTACCAAATTAAATCATTTTTTGAGAGTATCTACTAAACAATTCTATCATCTTTTGCTTATTTACAAAATTTCATCAGTTTTCAAAAATTTTCAAACAATCAATTACTTTGATCTTTTGTCTGACTGAATGTAATGCACACAGAAATTGTTATACCTGTTTAATTCCAGCTATTGCCACCAGTATCTCGTCTTCATTTTCTAAATTTTGACGTAAAAACTGGGCTTGCAGTCTCTCTGAAATTATACAATGTTTATCAATCACACCAAATAGAATAAATCTGCATAAAAAACATTAATATTTCTGTATTAATACTAGGTAGTGTTTCTGAAGTTTATTTAATGAAAACAGGTTTGTTTGTTTTTGTTTTTTTAGGGTTTTACAGCTCACCAACACAGTTTAGGTCATATGGCCTAGAAACATGAAAGACAATTTTGGCTAACGTTAGCTGTTATAAACTTAAAAAACTTAAGGCAACACCATGGGTCAAAACCATCTCACCTGCTGGAGCTTAGAGATGCATAAACTCCATTTATTCAAACTATTAAGTTGCCTCTTACGATCACACAAGGATAAACGGCGGCTGCAATTATGCCTCAACTATTAAAGGCATCCCTTCAGCCAGAAGGGGAATGAAATAGGTGTATACATCGATGAGATGTGATGCAGACTACAGGGACAAATCACCTGGTTTTGTTTTGGGTTCAATTATTTTCCTTGTTAGTATTTCTACTTTACCTCTCCAACAGTATAAACCAGGTCATATGTTGATCTTGTTATATAAGCGACAGGTAGAAACAACAAGGTGCATCAACATTTAACAAGCCAATATGATAGCTTAATAAGTTTTGAAGTAAATGACCATACACAAAACCTTAAAGGGACTCCACTGAGGTTTTTTTGACATGAGGGGACTGGAAATAATTCCATGAGATTAATAACCCATTTGTTGCAGGTCTACACCAATAACGAGTATGCTAAATTGCTTATCAATCGCTCAATCTGTTTTCAAGAATAATCATTCAAATTGTGAAAAATTACAAAAAATCTAAAAAGCATTGGAATGCTTTTCACTCAAATCGGGGTAAAATACACTTTTCCAATAATTTCTTTCTTTATTTTCTTTTTAATTTTTGCATATCTTTCTATTTAAAGTGGTCTACCTAACTATATAGGAAATTTTAGTTTTATGACTTCAGGGTTTTGTACCTCGGTGGAGTTCTTTTAATCTAAAATGTTATCCAAAGCTAATGCCAATGTGTAGTTAATGACAATTGCTCTGCTTTTTTCGAAAAGTGAATCTAAAAACTTGAATTGAAAAGCTTGGCAGATAGCTTTCTGATAAACATAGACTTACCTATATGACGGTCAAGTTTACTGGCGCAGTAATTACACATGGATTCCTTATCGTGTAGAACACCTCGTAACGCAGCTATCTCAGCATCTGCAGCAGGATCCTTGAGCAAAAAAAATAGTTCCATGTAGCAAAATGGTCAAATGTTAAGGTTTGATCAATAAAACAAAAGAACATGTTTAATAACATCTTTGAGATATTAATTTTGAATTCTAAGCTAATATAAATATATACTGCAGCATAATTGGCCCTGCAAAAACATGATACATATAATTTGTGAACGAATAAATAATATTAGTTGTACACAGGACTTCTGTATTTGCATGAAAAATTTTTACATTTATTCTATGTTTATACTTTTAATGACCATTAGTATAAGGAGTTAGTGAGGCATAGTATATTTCACTGTTATAATATTTTATCAAATATTTAACAAAGAAAATCTGTCATTGACTGACAAAAGTAATCACAAATTCATCATAATTACCACAGCCTGTTTTTTGTGTTTAAGTTTCCCTCTAGTTGGCATGGTAGCATATCGAGTTGGACTTCCATTCACCGATGAATCTTCCGGTGTGGTGACAGCTGACCTCAAACTCTGGGTTTCAAACTTTGTTAGGCTACCACTGGACTGTGCCGACCTGAACATAGAGTCCTCAACATGTGAGAGACTAGCTGATGAACCCCTCTTGTGCTGAGGTACATTTCCTGGTGGAGGACTATCTGTAAAACACAGAAAGAAAATAAATTTAAATGTACACATGTAAAAAACAGTTCTTTTTTAATATTAAATAATTGTAAGTAAGATGCCATTTTAAAATGGTCATCACCCTTTATACATGTATAAAACACAATCATAATCATCAAAACTTTTCATTTCTTCAAAAGTTACAATCTACATCCCATAAACATATCAATGAAGTTTCTCGCTAAATATAAAATAAAATAAAATTTAAAATTGAAATGCATGAGTATTGCATCAAAGTGTATAAAGCTAAATATCTGCTGCAAAATTTATTGTTTGAATTTTAAAATAAAAATACTTTCAAAATGCTTGTATGAAAATAATATGAAAAGTAAATTGCCTTTAAAGCTAATAGCACATGCATAAAATCGTTGCTAAATGGATAAAACCCTACTTTAAATTGCAGAATACTATATTTTGTTCAGGAACATTTTATTCTGTGTACAAACAATATTTATATGAGCCGCGTCACGACAAAACCAACATAATGGGTTTGCGACCAGCATGGATCCTGATCAGACTGCGCGGATGCGCAGGCTGATCAGGATCCATGCTGTTCGCTTACAAACCCTATAACAAGTAGAGAAACTGATAGCAAACAGTATGGATCCTGATCAGACTGCGCGGATGCGCAGGCTGGTCTGGATCCATTTTGGTCGCAAACCGATTATGTTGGTTTTGTCGTGACACGGCTCATATGTAATAACAAGCATTCTATGTTACAACATTTTTTGAGTATCGACCATAAGATTATGGAACCAATAATATTTTACTGTTGATCAATTTTATGAAAATATTTTATAAGAACAAGCTTGATATCTTTTACTGGAAAAAAATAGCATTTTTTTCCTTTTGTCATGTTTGTGAGCAAAATAAAAATCCATGGAAATAAATATGAATTTCTTAAATATTGATTCACATGCTAATGAAAACGCAAATCTATAATTTAAAAGACACACTAAATATGAATATTTTTTTGAATGTGAATAAATGACAGAAAACTTCAATAAATAATTTATTCATCAAAGTTGTGAAAAACTTAATGTATGGAATTGTGAAATTCATTGTTGTGTTGCTTTGATATGGTCAAGTTTAAAATTGTGATAAGTCATGTGACAGTTGTAAATAAATGTATAAAGTTTATTAACTACATATGAACCTGGACAGAGTAGCCCTATATAGAGCAGTCAGTTCTTTACAAAAAACATTTTTTATTTTAAAGAAAATTTTACAATAAATTTAACCTCTGTAGACTTTAACCTCTTGTAGCAGCAACTTAAAATCTTTGTCTGCTGAAGGGTTTAACTCTATTGGTCCAATTCCTTTCTGCTTTAAATTGTGAATTATTAACATGTGTATTCATCTTGAATAAAAAAATGTTTAAACCAAAACTACTCTACAAAGCTTCCCACTAAATTTATCCACTATTTTATCTACCGGTATTCAATCAGTTCTACATTACAATGACCTTTCAGTGAAAAAAGTTCCAAATATCTTGAAGTTAAGATCAAGAGGATAAAAGAAGAATATATAATCTACATGTAAATCGAGGGTTAAGCGCAAGACTGTAGTAACTACCATTTTTTCTGAAAATGACTTTTTATTTTCCTGTATTATTTGGTATTTTACATCATGTGTTAATTTTTTTTGTTTTTATTTTACTTCATTTCATAACAATTTTATAAATACTCTACTGTATTAATCAAAAGATAAAAATATTTTTCTGCAAAACTGTTGTAACTGTGTAGTTACTACAGTCTTGCACTAAAATAATAAATAATTTGCCCTGACCTTTTCATGTAAGACTGCAGTAACTCACAAGGCAATACATTATGATATCATCAATGATCACATTTCAAGAAGTTGACACTACAGATGTACATGCATGAATCATTCTACATTTTTTTGTCTGTGTATTTCAAAGATTTTGCTAAAAATGCAAAAGAATATGGAATTTTCAGTTGAAATCTTAGATGTACAACAGTTTCATTGGTTTTAACAGTTAAATAAGTAAACCCTTCATTTATATTTATACATTTATAAAATGAAGAAAATAAATAACTAATCTACCTTTGTATTTTTTACTGTATCAGCAAGTTAGCAATGCTTTACTGTTGACAAGTATTGTTTGGCAATATTGACCTGAGACTCATTAATTTTAAAGTTTCTGTAATTTATAACGATTAAGTTATTGTTTTTAATGATATGACTATAGTTGTTGATACTTTATTTAATATTGACGTCCTGATGGCCTGATGTTAACATTAAGTTGCAAGTTTGAAACTTTCCAACTTTTTTTTCAGATTTCTTTAATTATTTTTCAAATTATATGCAGCATTAATCGATGAATCATTTCTTTAATTTCGTATGTCTTTTCTTTAAAAAAAATCATACCTTTGGTTTTTATATATTATATATTTCTAAAGTTTCAAAATTTCAATTTGTACAATCATATAGTGGTTGATTTAGCATTCACAAGAACTTAGTAGTAGTTTCTCAAAATGTAATAAAAGAAAAGTTGAAAATCCATAAAAACGGTGTTTCATAAAGATTCAAACCTACAACCTTTACTTTGAAACTAAGAGTATTAACTCATTTTCACCAAGGCTAGCTAAGGCAACTGTTGTGTCAGAAACTTTTAAGTTATACATTCTGTAACATAAACCATGTATACTTTTGTGCCAAACTTGAAAATCTGTATGATTATACTTTGAAATCCGACAATTTCCGACTTAAGGTCATTGAATATTCAAATGTCTCAGGTCAATACAGTACAAACTGCCATAGTATGTGACCCACTGTATTCAGTGATTTTCTGACTTATGTGACCCTGTTTGAATCTGCCCAAAGATTTCTGCTATTCAGTCGCACTGTATTAAGCGACTTGCTGCGATATGTGACTTAGAGACAATGATTTGTACTGTTCAGAAGGTACACTTTTATTAATGCTTCCAAAGGATCACTTTGTTTCCAGTTTTTTTTTAATGATAGAATATAGACTGAATGTGATAAATAACCCTAGGCATTAGTCGAGGATTATATTAATGTCAGCAAGGCTGTCTCACAGTGTGTAAACGAAATCACTGTATCATTTATTACAAGTCTATATTATTCTATGTGTATGTTGTGTATAATTATTATTAGTTATACAAGTTGCTGCCAGATAAACAGGATAATATTAAGCCTCAAAATGGGGTGTCCGTGGCCCGGTGGTTAAGGTTGTTGACTTCAAACCACTTGTCCTTCACTGCTGTGAGTTCGAATCCTCACAGGGACTTTGGATTCTTTCATGTGAGGAAGCTATCCAGCTAGCTTACGGAACGTCGGTGGTTTGACTCAGGTGCCCGTTCGTGCCTGAAATTATGCATGAAATAGGGCACCTGAGGTCTTCCTCCACCAGAATAGCTGGAATGTCGCCAAATGACCTATACTGTGTCGGTGTGACGTAAAACCAAAACAAACAAACAGTTATTAAGCCTGAATGAGATAAATATGACCCGATAGGTCAGTCGAGGCTGAATTATCTTATGTATACGGTCAGCAACATATATAACAAATTTATAACAATGCAAATTCTTATTTAGGACGGACAAGTTCATAAGAAAATCCAAAAATTCATGTACATTGTATATTAAAAGTCATCATAATAAGGTGTATCTTTCAACTCTTTCTTTTGAAGTATTATGATGGCATTTGAATCGAGAAATATGCAATAAAAAGTAATACCTAATAACAAATTTCAAGAAGTTTATTGGCTACAATTTTGAAATAGGTTGTTTTTGTTTGCCAAATATTAAGACTGTGGGTCAAAGGAATCTTAAGTAATTGGGAAGACAAGCTTTTTTAGTCAAGGCCCCTGTGACCTTGACCTTTGACCCAGTGACCTCAAAATCAATAGGCGTCATCTACTAATCATCACTAGCCTCCATGCCAAATATGAAGACTGGTGGTCAAAGAAATCATAAGTTATTGGGCGGACAAGGAAAAACCGACAAACGGCCGGACAGGGAGACGTCCGGACGGACCGACAAGCTGATTCCAGTATACACCCCCCCTTACAACTTGTGGGGGGATATAAAAATCATTTGTTTTAGTGAGTATAAAATGGCAACAGATATTTCTTATTGAAGAAATAATTAGATTTTTGAAATAAAAAAATTTAAAAAATGTTTTATTGACATCACAATTAATATCAATAATGAAAAAACATCTTCTTGAACACCTACCCCTTTGTTACAAGTGGTAGGAAGATTAAAGGTAACTTTGAACACTATCATTTATCTTATTTCAAGTATTTTTAATTGAGTTACTACAGTGTTGCAATTAATTTTGTACATAGAGGCCCTCACTTTGTGCATGTTATACTGCAGTAAGTCTAGTTACTACTGTCTTGCACTCAGAATAATTTTCAATATATTACCATTTGAGCGCAAGAGTGTAGTAACTCGGCACAGTCCAAATATCTAAGAAAGAAAATAAGATAAACATTTTTTTGTTAATTCATTTGCTTTCTGCTACAATTCCTGTTCATATTCTAAAAAATCTTAACAAATGATAGAATAACATTTAAAACAGAATGTTTTTTGTCTCTCTTGTAAAATTTACAAATATACAGTTACTACAGTCTTGCGCTATACCCTCGAAATATTTTATAAAACTCATATTTTTAGGATAATCAGATCTAGGTCAAATGCATGACCAGTCTACACGTTTGATCAACGCTTAATCTATTATCACCATAATTCCCTTGATAAATTAGTTAAACTAAAGTTGGAACAAAAAGGAATGATAAATGAAGTGGGGAAATGATTGTTGGATAAAACAAATTAGAAACTATAGTAACATCTCCCTAAAGAGCTATATATACAGATGTAAAAACACATTAATACCACCATTTATTGTATAAAGACTTAGAAAAAAAACAACATTACTTAGGTAATTCAAACAAAGAAATAAACTATTTAATAATTGCCATGCTACACAATTTTAATCCCCTCATTGTGAAGAAGTAACAGTTGTTCTTGCATAATGCACAGCCTACCTATGTGCACTGTCAATGTGTGAAGTTTGAAGAAAATCCCACTACTTTTGAAGATATTCTCCAGACAATTTTTTTTTCAAGTAAATCTGATAAAGGGCAATAACTTTAAAACTAGGCAAGATAGAGTTATTGTTCTTGCACACTGCACTTCCTACCAATGTGCTATGCCAGTGTATGACGATCACTCAAGTGATTTTAGAGTTATACTCTGCACAAATTTTGGATGCACTCACTGACACACAGACAGAGACTTAAAATAATTTCTACCATCCCTTTTGCCTTTTGCGAGTGGATAAAAGATGTAAAAACATTTCAATAATGCACCACACTAAAATAAGTAAATAACTAAATTTGCTATGGGTCCATTTTCATCAGAAGTTAAGACATCAAAAAAATAAGCTTCTGTCTTCAAAAATAAAACAAAAAATCAGTTCTAAAAATTAGAAAATAAAAGCATACAAATGTCAAAATTAAGATAAACTGTAATATCTCCATTACTTTCAAAATATTCTATCATGTTCACAGATTAAAATACACTGAAACACAACATTTAAATATAAATGAATCTACCCACCAAAACCAAATTTCATGTAAACAAGAGGGCCATGATGGCCCTGAGGTCGCTCACCTGTATATAGGCCCCCCCCCCCCAACACCCCCCCCCAACGTTGCAGGGTCAATTTAACCCAAGGGCTTTTATTTGCACAAACTTGGTAGACACCCATAAGAAGATGTTTCATGCTACACATCTAAGCTCTAGCTCATTGGGCTTTTTAAAAGAAGATTGTTTTTATGTTTTTACTATACACATACATGTATAGTTAAAAACAATGACACCCCTGGGGCCGGGCCAGTTTTGACCCCAGGGCTTTTATTTGAACAAACTTTGTAGACACTTACTAGAAAGATGTTTCATGCTTAATATCTAAACTCTAGCTATTTGGGTTTTTTCAAAGAAGATTTTAAGTTTTTGCTATACACATATAAAGAAAATCAATGACCCCCGGGGCGGGGCCAATTTTGACCCCAGGTCTTTTATTTGAACAAACTTTGTAGAAACTCACTAAAAGATGTTTCATGTTTAATATCTTAACTCTAGCTATTTGGGTTTTTTCAAAGAAGATTTTTAAAGTTTTTTGCTATACACATATCAGGAAAATCAATGACCCCTGGGGCAGTGCCAATTTTAATCCCAGGGCTTTTATTTGAACAAACTTGGTAGACACCTATTAGAACATGTTTCATGCTAAATATCTTAGCCATAGCTCTTTGAGTTCTTTAAAAGAAGGTTTTTTAAGATTTTACTATATGCATGTAGGGAAAATGAATGACCCCCCCCCCCGGGGCGGGGCCAATTTTGACCCCAGGGCTTTTATTTGAACAAACTTGGTAGACACTTATTAGAACATGTTTCATGCTAAATATCTTAGCTCTAACTCTTTTGGTTCTTTAAAAGAAGATTTTTTAAGTTTTTACTATATGCATATAGGGAAAATCAATGACCCCCTTGGGCGGGGCCAATTTTGACCCCAGGGCTTTGATTTGAACAAACTTGGTAGACACCCATTAGAACATGGTTCATGCTCAATATCTTAGCCATAGCTCTTTGAGTTCTTTAAAAGAAGATTTTTTAAGTTTTTACTATATGCATATAGGGAAAATCAATGACCCCCCGGGGCGGGGCCAATTTTGACCACAGGGCTTTTATTTGAACAAACTTGGTAGACACCCATTAGAACATGTTTCATGCTAAATATCTTAGCTCTAGCTCTTTGAGTTCTTTAAAAGAAGATTTTTTAAGTTTTTACTATATGCATATAGGGAAAATCAATGACCCCCCGGGGCGGGGCCAATTTTGACCCCAGGGCTTTTATTTGCACAAACTTGGTAGACACCCATTAGAACATGTTTCATGCTAAATATCTTAGCTCTAGCTCTTTGGGTTCTTTAAAAGAAGATTTTTTAAGTTTTTACTATATGCATATAGGGAAAATCAATGACCCCCTGGGGAGGGGCCAATTTTGACCCGAGGGCTTTTTTTTGAACAAACTTGGTAGACACTCACTAGAAGATGTTTCATGCCAAATATCTAAGCTCTAGCTCTTATGGTTTTTTAAAAGAAGATATTTAAAGTTTTTTCTTTCGGTTGCCATGACAACCAGAGTTCTGCATGGAATTAAATTCTTTGAACAATTTTTAAAGGTGACCACCAAAGGAACATTCCTGTGAAGTTTGGATGAAATTGGCTTAGTGGTTTATGAGGAGATGTCATTTAAAGTAAAAGTTTATGGACGGACGCCGGACGGACGGACGCCGGACGAAAAGCGATCACAAAAGCTCACCCTGTCACTTTGTGACAGGTGAGCTAAAAAGTAAGACATATCTACTTAAAATCAATAAATTTTGAATAAAAACTCTTTTTCCATTGATATATTTATTATACACCAGCAAAATAATCTTTGTACAACTAACTAAAAAAAATAATACGAAAAATGGTTTGAAAATGCAAGCAAGTGTAAATAAAATTCATAAAAAGAATGAAAATAGAAAAAAAAACAAACACTTAAATTCATGCGGGCCTGACACAATATCTATTCTACCTGGTGATATCTCGGTCTGCAAGTTCATGGGTTCACTGGATGACTTAGATATTTTTTGTCGACCTGTCACAGTTAGTGATTTAGGTCGGGACGTGGTGTAGAATTTACGGGTAAATGACTGCAGTGAACTAGAACTTGAGTGTGGCTTTGAACTTGCAGAAGCTGTCGGTATAAACAAATAACCCTTCATAAAATAACGCACAATTCTAAAAATACACTGTTTGATTTATATTTTTACATATATGTTTATTTATTTCTTATATTTAAAATCCCAAACCAACAATTTAATACACAGTTTCATAATTTAACTTGATGTATCAATATTTTTATGTCAACTTCAGAACTCGCCAAATGTTGGTTTTTCCTAACTAAATCCCTGGTTTTCCCAGATGTAACAAAACTAACAAATTCAAGTAATTCTAGATGTTCTATAAAGTTTGATACACTTTCTTTACCTGAGCTTAATCAACCAACAAACTTTACCCAATGTTGTAACCTATTTTTGCCCTATTTTTTTTCTCCATGGCTATAATATTATTATATACAGTATTATCATATTACACATTTAAAAGGCTGAATAATCCCATTCAACTATAGCATGCCATTTGTAGTTATGCTTTAAATACGACAATTATCCTATCTTTTATTTAAAACAATATAAAGTTAAAAAAATATTAATATTTTAGCAAAAAGTATTAGTTTTATGTTTAGAATAAGTACGCTTTCACTGATACAATTCTTTAGTTCACATTCATGTGCTGCGTAAAATTATTGCATGTTTTTACATGCATTAAATTTAAACATAATAATTTTTATGCAGTCTTTAATAAAAGTATATATCTTCAAAAAACATTATATTGGTAAGGTTTATTATATATTTTACATTAAATATACAGAATTAAAACTAAATTCTCACCTTTAGGTTGTTGAGGCTGACTTCTTTCAGCAGTTTGAACACTTTGGTACGTATATTTTGGTGGACGAGGATATTGCTGCAAGGAATAGAAGTCTACTGTTAATGAAAGCATGTTTGTTAATTAATTAATTAATTATTTAAAGGACATAATTATAAAAACTGTTGAAACGACAAATGGGTTTTCTGAATATCTTAACAAGCATTCTCGATTTCTCGGCAAGTGATCAACAGTTAACTACTAATTCCACATGATTTCTAAATTAAATGACCATAAACTCTGGGTAACTGGTTTGATCTTATGGGAGAGCATAGGTTTGTTAACCTATGCTCTTCCTTAAGATCAATCCAGTTACCTATAGTTAACAAATCTATGCTCTCCCATAAGATCAAACCAGTTACCCATAGTTAACAAACCTATCCTCTTAAGAACAAACCAGTTACCAATATTTAACAAACCTATGCTCTCCCTTTAGATCAAACTAGTTACCCATAGTTAACATACCTATGCTCTCCCTTTAGATCAAACCAGTTACCCATAGTTAACAAACCTATGCTCTCCCAAAAGATCAAACCAGTTACCTATAGTTAACAAACCTATGCTCTCCCATAAGATCAAACCAGTTACCTATAGTTAACAAACCTATGCTCTCCCTTTAGATCAAACCAGTTAGCCATAGTTAAAAAACCTATGCTCTCCCATAAGATCAAACCAGTTACCCATAGTTAAACAAACCTATGCTCTCCCAAAAGATCAAACCAGTTACCTATAGTTTAACAAACCTATGCTCTCCCATAAGATCAAACCAGTTACCTATAGTTAACATACCTATGCTCTCCCTTTAGATCAAACCAGTTACCATAGTTAACAAACCTATGCTCTCCCAAAAGATCAAACCAGTTACCTATAGTTAACAAACCTATGCTCTCCCATAAGATCAAACCAGTTACCTATAGTTAACAAACCTATGCTCTCCCTTTAGATCAAACCAGTTAGCCATAGTTAAAAAACCTATGCTCTCCCATAAGATCAAACCAGTTACCTATAGTTAACAAACCTATGCTCTCCCAAAAGATCTAACCAGTTAGCCATAGTTAAAAAACCTATGCTCTCCCATAAGATCAAACCATTTACCTATAGTTAACAAACCTATGCTCTCCCATAAGATCAAACCAGTTACCCATAGTTAAAAAACCTATGCTCTCCCATAAGATCAAACCAGTTACCTATAGTTAACAAACCTATGCTCTTCCAAAAGATCTAACCAGTTACCTATAGTTAACAAGCAATTGTCATAGTATTGCAAGCAATCCATAAGTCCCCTACAGGCCAGTCAATTTTACCAGTGAATGAATGACATGAATGAACTTAAATCTTTTGAGTTCTAAGTTTGTCTATATCACAGTAATGTGTTAAGTTTCCCTGCCTAGCAAGGAAATTATGTTTATACAACCTTGTCATATTATTACGATGTGGGATTTTAAAGTAAATCCTATAATGAATGAAGAAGTTGGAGTGAAAAATACCAATTTCTCGAAAAAAATCTAAGTTCAAGGGGGACATAATTCTGGAAATAGTCTTGCTAGAGTAGTTAACCTTCTCAAAAATGTTGAGTGATAATAAGAAACATATATATGAAGTTTGAAGTAGATACATTAGGAAATAAAGAAGTTATTTAAAAAAGACAACATTTTTTTCATAAAAATTCTAAGTTCAAGGGAGGTAATACTGATAATTTTTGTGCTAGAGTTGTAAACCTTGTCACATATGATGTGGTTGATGACCAGAAACTTATATTTAAAGTTTGAAGTAAACACCTTAAGAAATAAAGAACTTATAGTGAAAAAGCTGAAAAATTTAAATCAGAAATCTTGAAATTCAGGCTATTTGTTGCCATAGCAACCAGAATTTTCAACATAGGAAGAAAAAAAAAGACGTGCATAATCTCCATACTGCCATCTATCCATATATCAAGTTTCATAAAAATATTTTCAGTACTTTTTGCGTTATCGCGGGATCCAGTTTATGTGTTAAATTTGCCATATTTTCAGGCTATTTGTTGCCATAGCAACCAGAAGTTTCCACATAGGAAGAAAAAAAAAAAGACGTGCATAATCTCCATACTGCCATCTATCCATATATCAAGTTTCATAAAAATATTTTCAGTACTTTTTGCGTTATCGCGGGATCCAGTTTATGTGTTAAATTTGCCATATTTTCAGGCTATTTGTTGCCATAGCAACCAGAAGTTTTCACATAGGAAGAAAAAAAAAAGACGTGCATAATCTCCATACTGCCATCTATCCATATATCAAGTTTCATTAAAATATTTTCAGTACATTTTGCGTTATCGTGGGATCCAGTTTTGTGGACGGACGGACTGACTGACTGACAGACAGACGGACGGAGGGTCAAACCTAAAGTCCCCTCCGGTTGAAACGGGTAGGGGACTAAAAAAACCTATGCTCTCCCATAAGATCAAACATTTACCTATAGTAAAACAAACTATGCTCTCCCTTTAGATCAAAGAACCAGTTTCACCAATATTTAACAAACCTATGCTCTCCCATAAGATCAAACCAGTTACCCATTAGTTAAAAAACCTATGCTCTCCCATAAGATCAAACCAGTTACCTATAGTTAACAAATCTATGCTCTCCCAAAAGATCAAACCAGTTACCTATAGTTAAATAAACCTATGCTCTCCAATGATCAAACCAGTTACCCATAGTTAAAAACTATTGCTCTCCCCTTTAGATCAAACCAGTTACCCATAGTTCCACAAACCTATGCTCTCCCAAAAGATCTTCTATAAGTTACCCTATGCTCTCCCTTTAGATAGTTAACAAACCTATGCTCTCCCCAAAAGATCAAACCAGTTACTAGTTATATTTCCCAAAGAGGTCTAAACCAGTTACCTATAGTTAAACAAGAGGGCCTTGATGGCCCTGGGGGGTCGCCTCACACCTCTGAACATCAGGCCCTCAGGGCCCCGCGCCAGTTTAAACCAAAAAGGGCTTTTAAAATTTGGAACAAACTTGGAAGACACCCATTTGAAACATATTTCATGATGTTAAGATTTTACTAAACACAAATTATGAATAACAATGACTTTTGCCAACAACCCCCTCCCCCCTGGCAGGGCCCAATTTTAAAAACCCCAAGGGCTTTTATTGAACAAACTTGGTAGACATCCATTAGAAATGTTTCATGCTAAATATCTCAGCTCTAGCTCTTTGGGTTTTTTAATAGAAGATTTTTAAACTTTTTACTCTATGTATATAGGGAAATTTCAATGACCCTGGGACGGGCTTTTATTTGAAACCAAATTTGTAGTAGACCCCATTTAAGAACAATGTTTTTATTGCTAAATATCTTAGCTCTAGCTCTTTGGGTTCTTTAATTTTTAAGTTTTTTACTATAATGCATATAGGGGAAAATACATGACCCCCTGGGGCGGGGCCAATTTTTTGACCCCAGGGCTTTTTATTTGAACAATCTTGGTAGACACTGATAAAGATGTTTCATGCCTATTTATCTTAGCTCAAGCTCTTTGGGTTTTCTTTAAGAGAAGATTTTTTAAAGTTTTTTAACTATATGCATTATAGGGAAAAATCAATGAACCCTGGGGCCAGGGCAATTTTGACCCCAGGGCTTTTATTTGAACAAACTTGGTAGACATCTATTAGAACATGTTTCATGCTAAACATCTCAGCTCTAGCTCTTTGGGTTCTTTAATAGAAGATTTTTAACTTTTTACTCTATGTATATAGGGAAAATCAATGACCCCTGGGAACGGGCCCAATTTCTTTTGACCCAGGGCTTTTATTGAAAAAATTTGTAGACACCCCATTAGAAACATGTTTTATGCTAAATATCTTAGCTCTAGCTCTTTGGTTCTTTAAAAGAATTTTTTAGTTTTTACTATATACAATAGGGAAAATCAAATGACCCCTGGGGCGAGGCCAAATTTTTTGACCCCAGGGCTTTTATTTGAACAAACTTTTTTTGGGGGTAGAACAACTGATAAGAAGATGTTTTTCATGCTTAATATCTTAGCTCTAGCTCTTTGGGTTCTTTAAGAGAAGATTTTTTTAAGTTTTTTTTATATAATGCATATAGGGAAAATCAATGAACCCTGGGGCGGGGGCCAATTTTGACCCAGGGCTTTTATTTGAACAAACTTGGTAGACATCCATTAGAACATGTTTAAACACCAAAAAATATCTAAGCTTAGCTCTTTGGGGGTTTTTTTAGAAGAAATTTTTTTAAAGTTTTTACTTTATGCATGTAGGGGAAAATCATGACCTGGGGCGGGGCCAATTTGACCCAGGGCTTTTATTTGAACAATCTTGGTAGACACTTATTAGAAGATGTTTCATTGCTTAATATCTTAGGTCTAGCTCTTTTGGTTCTTTAATAGAAGATTTTTTTAAAAGTTTTTACTATTGCATATAGGCGAAAATCAAATGACCCCCTGGGGCGGTGCCAATTTTGACCCCAGGGCTTTTATTTGAACAAACTTGGTAGACATCCATTAGAACATGTTTAATGTACAAATTATCTAAGCTCTAGCTTCTTTGGGTTTTTGTAGAAGAAGATTTTTTTTAAGTTTTTACTATATATGCATATAAGCGAAAATCATGACCCCTTGGGCGGGGCCCCAATTTTGACCCTAAACCCGCAGGGCTTTTATTTGAACAATCTTGGTAGACACTTATTAGAAGATGTTTCATGCTTAAATCTTAGGTCTAGCTCTTTGGGTTCTTTAAAAGAAAGATTTTTTTAAAAGTTTTTTACTATAATGCATTAGGGAAATCAATGAACCCCCTGGGGCGGGGCCAATTTTGACCCAGGGCTTTTATTTGAAACAAATTGGTAGACATCCATTAGAACATGTTTTTATGCCAAATATCTAAGGCTCTAGCTCTTTTGGGTTTTTAGTAGAAGATTTTTTAAGTTTTTACTATAATGCATATAAGGAAAATCAATTGACCCCCTGGGGCGGGGCCAATTTTGACCCCAGGGCTTTTTTATTTGAACAATCTTTGGTAGAACACTCATTAGAAGATGTTTCATGCCTTAATATCTTAGGTCCATAACGCTCTTTGGGTTCTTTAAAAGAAGATTTTTTAAGTTTTTTACTTATATGCCTATAGGGAAAATCAATGACCCCTGGGGCGGGGCCAATTTTGACCCCACAGGGATTTTATTTGAACAATCTTGGTAGATCAACTCACTAGAAGATTGTTTCATGCCAAATATCTAAGCTCTAGCTTTTTTGGGTTTTCTAGAAGATAGATGTTTAATAAAGTTTTTTCTTTTTGGTTGCCAATGGCAACCAGAGTTCTCCATGGAATGGAATTCTTTGAACAACTTTGTTAAGGTTTCACAACAAGGAAATCCCTTGTGAAGTTTTCATTATGATCTGCCTTATGGTTTTTCAGAGGAGATGTCGTTTGAAAGTGTGAACGGACAACGGACGACGTACGACGTAACGACAGACGACGGACCGAAGAGTGATTCCTAATAGCTCACCCTGAGCAAATGCTCAGGTGAGCTAAAAACCTATGCTCTCCCCTTTAGATCAACCAGTTACCTAATATTTAACAAAACCTATGCTCTCCCTTTAGATCAAAACGTGGTGGGGAACAGTTACCAATATCTAACAAACCTATGCTCTTCCTTAAAGATCAAACCAGTTACCTACATAGTTAACAAACCTATGCTCTCCAAAAGATCAAACCAGTTTACCCATAGTTTAACAAAACCTATCTCTCCATAAAGATCAAACCAGTTACCTATAGTTAAACGAATATGCTCTCCCTTTAGATCAAACCAGTTACCAATTATCTAACAAACCTATGCTCTTCCCTTAAGATCAAACCAGTTACCTATAGTTAACAAACCTATGCTCTCCAAAAAGATCAAACCAGTTACCCATAGTTAAAACAAACCTATGCTCTCCCTAAGATCAAACCAGTACCCATAGTTTAAAAAACCTATGCTCTCTCCATAAGATCAAACCAGTTACTCATAGTTTAAAAAACCTATGCTCTCCCATAAGAATCAAACCAGTTTACTCATAGTTTAAAAAACCTATGCTCTCCCATAAGATCAAACCAGTTACTCATAGTTAACAAACCTACGCTCTCCCTTCAGCTACATGTATATGGGCAGATGCAAGGGTAAGTTAAATGAGCTCACTATTGATAATTATTTATATTGCAAAGCTAAATTGTTAAGATCAACATTCTTGTTTTTATGCACAATGTTTGTTTGTGTCTTTATTTATCAGGTTTTCATTTGTTTGTTTATTTTTGTTTTATTAATATGACATTGTGCATAAAACAAGAATGTGTTTTATGCACAATGTCATTATAAAAAACAAATAAACAAACAAATGAAAACTAAATAATAAAGACACAAACAATTACATTTTAAAATGTTCAGTAAAACAGATGTATTACATGAGGGTCTCGAAGATGGCGGGGCCTTGTCATGAAGAAAATGTATTATCACCTACTGGGGATATTCTCATCAATTGATCAAACATGAAGGGTAGTCACTCGATAATACCTGGAAAAATATAACAAAGAATTCATATCCCGTTATATCACAATACACCACAAAAACTAATGAAACTGGTAGTCACTCGAATAATAATTACTGGAAAAATGATATAAAAAGAATTAATATCCGTTATATCACAATACAACAACAATACTATGACTGACTGGTAAGTCACTCGATAAACTGGAAAAATATTACAATAAATTCAGAATCCATTATCCAATACACTGCAACACTTTTTACCTTTATTGTAAATTTAGTTTAACATTTATTTTAATATTAAAAGATAATTACACTTGAACTGGTTTATATATAAAGAAATACATGTATAACATGAATAACACAATTGATAATAATTAGTCATAAGGGAAAAGTTGCTTAATTTACAGTTTCAAGTATGTTTTAACCTTGACCTTTTAACTTCATACTTGACATGACAATCTCCCTGAGATTAAATTAAGATAGTTTCACAAAACTATTTTACTACTTTACATGAAAACCTATTTTAGATATCACTGAAACATTGTTTTTCTTTCTAGTTTTTTGTTTAAAGATGGTCTTTTAATAAAGGGAATTTTCAACACAGCTGATATAAAGAAGAATAACATTTGAATTCAAACAAAAGTTCATTTAAAATTTTAGTTTAATTAGATAAATTGAGATAAATCTTTTACACATACTGAAACCAAATTTTAAGACATTGCCTTGGCAAAGTACTTTATAGCTTCTTATTACTTCAACCTTTTGGACACTTTCGGTGTGTAAGATTAGTCTTAGTTACTCTAATGCTATGAAGGTCTTAAAGCTAATTAACAATTTATCTTGTTGAAAACCAACTTAGATGCCTCTGCATGAATTATTTCAGACAGTAAATATTTGTTTTTCTTAAAGTAAAGAAAGTTATCAGGGTTAAAACAACACTTTTAACTTCCATTACAAAAGAATTTTTCTCCAACAGGAGCATTTATTAGAGATATCGGTAAGAAAGAAAAAACAAAGAACACTCACAATGGTCTCTAAGGTAAAGCAACATGGCAACAAAGATAAAATCGACCAGATCAAATCCTATACCATCTGCAAATATTGCGTCCCACAAAACTAGCAAATCTTGCATCGGGAATTCCCTCCAAACAGCAAGACGGATCCCAGCGACTGGAAATAATCATATCATCTTCAAAGTGTTAAGATAACTTCTGAATTGCATAATTATGAGTTTCGAGGGCAATAATTTGTCTTCCATTGAAGTAATCTTATATCATGAATAACTGTATATATTTTCAGTCCTTATACATATTTATAGGTCAGAACAACATTCAATCACATGGTCTTTAAATGAATTTTTTCCCAGTATAATCTGGAGACCTACAACAATTTGATAGGTAGCCAGAGAACAAACAAAAAATAAATTAAATATACAAAATGTTTTTTTTTTATCAAAAAAGACATTACATTGTATTCTAAATAACTCAACAGCTTGTTTTTCATGTCCATGTCTCAGCGATCATGTTGAACATACAAAGTTATTTATTAGACTTTAATAACTGTGGCAACATGATACACAAGTGTAACTATGATAAAGATGACCCATCCATATACTGGAAATATATCTACAGGAATATTTAAAACACATTCTTAGTAAAAATTTTATGAATCTACTTTGAGTCAATGGATTATAATTATACAAACCCAAAACAAGAGTTACTATTCAGATAATTAAATGCTTTTTTCATATGACAGTTACACTAACTATAAATTATGTCCATATAAAAAGCATAATGTAGGAAACACTGTTTTAGCATGTGACTCCTAAAATTCGTCTCGGGCAAATATGGAATTTTAATATATCTAATATATATAATTATTGGCAACAAAGGAATTAAAGACAGAATGAAGCTTGACATTCATTTTTGCTGTTAAATTGACATCTTTAATAAAATTTTCAATCAAAATTACATTTTCCCTCATGAATTAATCCAGTAATGTTGTAATAAAATTGTCACCGAATACCAGCATAAAAGACAAATTGATAGTTTCTGGAATTTCGTAGTCCTCAATAATTGTATTCATATCGTAAAATTTCACACCATCAATTAAAGCATTAAATAGAGTATTTTTAATAGCTTTTACATCATTTAGTGGTTATCAAATAACATTATGTAACCAACAAAGCTATAAAATATAACAACATTCTATAACAAATCACATATTTTATGAAATTAATACCACACTACAGGAGTGGGGATATGATGAATAAAGCTGTATTTTATATTCAAACACTTGATAGTCTGTGAATAACAACTAGGGAATAGAATTTGGATACATTTTTACAATATGAAGCAGTGATAAATGACAGCAGGAAAATGATCTTATCATTTTGTGCAAAAATACAACATGACAAACTTCCCTACTGTTATACATGTATATACACTAGCACCGCTTCATTTATATTCAATACAACCAGTCTTACAAGTAAATGGCAGTTACGATTTGATTTGCAGCTACAGAAAATGTTTTATCCTCTAAGGTTCCGAAATAGACTTACTCCAGAATAAAGAATATTTTGGGTTTTTCCCAGCTAAACCGGGGGTACAAACAAACATTACAGTTACAGCTTCATAAATACGCGCAACAGGTTGATTAATCTATTGTGACCAGTGCACTGTGAAACTTTAACAGTAAACGGGTGATTAGCATGGAAAAACCCACATTTGCCGAGTTCCGAAATATAAAGTAAATACATAATATAACATATAACAAGAAAATTCAACATGTAGTTAATTTTTCTATAGCATGACAATACTATTAAAGCACAACAAAATTTAAGAAGCTTTTGAGAAATAAAAATTAAAGCATTTCTGAGGCATAATGAGCCTTTAAGTTAAATATTTTTAGTATAATTCTTCATTCACTTACATGCCATATATCTGAGGAGCTATTTCATGTCTCTCTAGATGCATATGAAGTTCAAGGTCAGCTTTCTTCAGCAGATAGTCCTGTATTCGGGTCAGTTTTGTCACAATCACATTAGAAGGGTTCAGATCCTGTGGTCTGGCAAACGGCTGGGAGCATGAAGGATCTGTAGCTTGCTGCAACAATAATTATCATCAATTATTATATAAGTTTACACAGATGTTTATTTTAGTCAAAGATTGTAGGAAGCTATAGGCTTATATGCACACCCTCAAAAATCTGTTTGTGAAACCAACCAGCACTAAGCAATGACGATAAACTTTCTTTCTCAACTTAAAACAACAGTTTACCCCTGACTGGCTTTGAACCCAAGCATGCCAGCAATCCTTAGTTAAGTACATGTAGTCTGATCTGTTAACCACTTAACCATGTTGCCATGTTATCATTATTATTTTACTTGTTCAAAATAGTAACTACATAATTATGAACCTTATTTTATACTAAAAATAATTTTGCTTAAATACTTTGATGCATTGGCGTAATTTCCATTCTTGGAAATCTTCATTATCAATATTTTGTCAAATCTGTCATAAGTTAATATCATGCTATTTATTGGTACGTGTATAATTATGTTTGCTAAAAACAGTAATCAAAGTACTCAAGAACAAAGCTAGGTTAGCCATGTAGTCTGACCTGCGGCCCTATACATGTATTAGCAAAAGCGGAAAACTGTAATATTAATCAAGCTATGCAACGCTTTAAATTTAAAGTAGAATATGCTAATTTTTATACAATATTCACAAAGAAGAAAATAATATTCCTCTTATAAAATGTTATTAAACATAAACATATTGATGGCAGTGTAGGGTTTTTTTTGTATTGTGGTTTTAGTGACATTGCTGGTAGGTTAATCATAATTGAATATGGTTGAGTATCCTCCTAGTAATTCAGAGGTCCTGGGCTCAGCCCTGAGTCATTGACTTGGGTTTACTTGGGTTTGCATTAGGTATAAAACATTGCCAACTTAACAAATATACCTTTGTAGGGTAAACTTCCTTTGACACATACCAAGGTTCCATAGTTTGCATCACTTGAGAAAACATTGCACTGTAATATAAAATTAAACAGGTTTTACAATGTATTCCTTAAAACCTCATATTAACAAGCTTTTGTAATAAAATTTGGTTCCAGTTAAAATTGTCTCAGCCTGATCACCAGATAACATTGCTAATTCTATGCTTCTTTAAAAAATTGTATCATAGTTTGGAGACCTTTCTACTGAAAATATGTCAGCATTAAATAGAATACCCACACATGCACAGTGCATTAATTGGAGTGCAGGTATTTGTAAGATATAAACTATGAAACTGAGAAAATGACAACTTACTATGCATCATGCTCAAGATATTTGGGATCCAACACACATTTAATCTTCTCACTGTAATATAGAAAATACATTCTTATTATTTCATCATAATATTTGATTCCTAAATTAAAAATAACTCATGATCTTTTTTACCTATTTAAGAATTGGACTATAAAACAAAAACTTAAACATTAAAATGATGAAATACTATTATAAACTAAAATCAAAATCAAGTTGCAACAAAACAATTTTAAATTATAACAGTAAATAGTTCATTTATGGCATATATATTCTATCCAACCCATCGGAAATTTTTTTTTTTGAAATTAAGCAGTATGCATAAGCTAAAGAAATACAAGCAGCAATGCTAAAAAGAAATCAATACCATGGTAATATGCACAAAACTAAACTGCTGTTTATTCAGATAAATAAGTAAAATATGTGAATATGAAACAACTCGTCCAATATCAGAATATGAAACAATGAGTTAAATATTTGATTATAAAACCATCAGTCCAATATTTTTCTGTCCTTTAAATGAAACAATCAGACTGAGTCCAATATTTGAATATGAAATAATCAGTCCAATATTTGAACATAAACAAATAGAATCTACATGTTCTTGAAACAATCAGTCCAATATATGAATATTAAAATACATTCAGTCCAAAATCTGGATATAAAATATTTGATTATGTCCAAAATCTGAATATGAAACCATCAGTCCAACATTTCTAAGTCAAAAATTTAAACCAATGAGTCCAATATTTGAATAAGTATAAAACAATGAGTCCAATATTTGAATACTAAATAATAAGTAGTATTCAATAAAACAGAATATTTATTTCAGTGGTTATTCTTATCCATTAATCATTATATAAGGACGGTCAGTTACAAAGAATACAGACAAGTGTGATATAGAAGCAGTTAACCTGTGCATGTTAACAACACAGTAATCAATGCATGCAAACTATCTGATAAAACATAACATTATATTTAACAGAATAAGAAGACGCACAGTCCAGCCTTTAAGTACTTAGATTACATCAAATGTCTGAGTGTTTTCAATGCATAAACTATACATATAATATAATAAGTTCTTTACAGTTTAAAGGGACTCAACTGAGGCTTTTTTGAAAAGACAGGCAGGGCTCATCCGGAAGGGCGATTCAGGCGAAAACTTCGCCGTGTATATTCCAATTTCGCTCTTCCGATTGATCAAAGAGAAGTCAACATCGCCGATAAAATCTTAATTCCCAAATAGTAATTACTTAGCGATGTAAAGAGCAGAGATTGTATCCGCCCATATGACGACCGCTAATTATCATTATCCAATCAGAGCGTCGCTTTATACTACCCTTCACCTGTAAGCGAAGCGATAGACCGCCTACTCTAAACAATAAATAATGAGAGCATCGACCCGAAACGGTATAATTGTGTGATAGTTTTGCGAGTTTAATACGGGATTTGGCGATAATTATACATTGTTTTTTCCCCGATTATCTAAACACGTGCAATCTTCCCTAATTGATATACACGATGCACTTCGGTGGTGGGTTTTTAACCCGAGTAAAGTCTATGTGCAACGGATTTTTCACGGCTATCACAAAACTGTTAGTCAATTAAAAATAATCAATTTCATTAATGATCAGCGACCTGATTAAAAACTTAATCATAGTTTTGAATGATTTCAGTCTGTTAACATCAATTTTTACTGTAAAATTGTTATGTCGCTCACGTCATGGCTACGAGGCGAAATGCCGAAACCGAGCAGTAAGAAAGTTACTGATTCTGATAGTTACACCTACGCGAAAATTTAAGAAAGCCATGCGATTGGTATGTTGTAGACAGTGGGGGTGTTAGGCATTGTTCTCTTTGTAGAAATGCCAAATTTGACACAGTTTACGCACGTGGGCTAAACTACATATCGGTCGTATATCATCACGGATTTATATTATTATTATTATTGTAATATAAATCCGTGATATCATGTAACGTATATAACAACAAAATTTGTCAGGAAAGAAGTGTTCTTATTGTTTCAATATAAATATTTGTTTTAATGTCGTAAATATGACGCTCAGATTAAGATTTATCAATATTGTAAATTTTAAAAAGCATTATTTTTAAAGATATTACCTAATTTAACATTTCATGAAAATAAAGGGAGGTAATTAGAAATTAATTTTCTACCATTTCTCAGTCAAATTTTTCAATAAGAAATGAATGTATGTAATTTTAGTGATCAAATATAATGTGCACAAATGTTTGCAGTACATATTTTACATATTCTTTGATGTTTGAAAATTGTTTTATAAGCATAATTATATGCATATAAATATGACATTACAACATTCAGGACTTCGAAAGAAATTTCTGTTACCAGAACAGAATAGAACAGATATTATTAATCAATATCGAATGTGACATCATCTTCTATTAAAAGTGAGGAAAGTAAAAAATATGAAATTGATTTTATCATCATATCTTTTCTTACACATTATTATCAACAAATGTATATGAAAATATATAAACACATATTTAGAGAAAGCTTATAAATAGCTGATCAATAGAAAAATAATTTTTTATATTCATATTTGCAGCTCAAAAACATTTAGATGCCATTGCCAGATCTACTACTAATTAATCTACTTTTAATTAATACTACTATTAATTAATCTACTATTAATTAATAAACTGGAGAAATATTATAAGTGATGTTAATTGTGTATATATTATAATATATTATTAAAGGATGTATAGCCATGCATGTTAATGCATACACATTGGGTTGTTTCCCTTCTCCCTAATTTTCGCGAGGAAGTCACTTCTCCCTAAAATTTCCCCCCAGGATGAGCCCTGGACAGGTCTGGAATTTTTTTGAAATTATTGTTCCATTTCATGTAGGCCTAGACTAATAACTTAAGTGCAAACTTTCATACCATTCGCTCACTCTGTTTTTCCAGAATAATTATTCTATTTGTGAAAAAGGACCCAATGTAGTAGATCTAGAACTGGATAAGAGTAGCACAAAAATACAATTTTCAATTAATTTCTGAGTAAATTTCTTAATTATCTTTAGCATATCTTTCTGTTTTTAAGTGCCCAAGCTGTTATAGGAAATTTCAAAACATTCAATAAATTTCTCTGTGCATCAAAATTGAGCTGTCCACACAAATTTTTTTTATAACTTATATATGAAGATTTGTTTGTTAGCAATAAACGTCAGTTTACAACGGTATTTTACCTTATAATAAAACTATTGTGAGGGATGATTGTTCATTTATTCTGTACCAATACAAATGTGGTTTTTCTTTCAAAATAATTTTTGTGAGTAAGTGTTCAGCCATTTTGACACTAGAAACCCAAGTAGAACCACTAACCTTAAATCATGTAAGATAACTGGATAACTTCCTGATGTTAAAAACACTTAAACATCCCTGCTGGAATTCTTTTGTTTGTTTGGTTGGGTTTTTACATCCCACCAACACAGTATAGGTTGTCTTTCCAGCTTTATTGGTGGAGGAAGACCTCAGTCTTTATTTTAGGCACAAACAGGCACCTGAGTAGAACCACCAACATTTCATTAAGCTAGCAGGATAGCTTCCTCACTTGAAAGAATCTAAAGTCCATGTCGGGATTCGAACAAGTGATTTGAAGTCAACAACATTAACCACTTGGCCATGGACGCCCCCTGCTGGGATTCAAACAAGTGGTGAATCAACATCAGTGATTTCAACAACTTGGCAACAAACCCCCACTTTTTTCTCTCAAAAATTTACAACCAACTTTTTCACATACATGTAAATCTCTTGTAATTACTGGCTAACAGAATGACAATAAACAAATTCAATCTTCTTTAAAAAACAAGATATGTTTGTAAAACATGTATGCCCCCTATCTGCAGCCAATTAGTCATGTGATCAGGTTATTATGCATGACTTCTGACCCAGTGAACAAACAATTAATAAGGGTTATCTAGTATCTACTGGTCATGACTAGTCACAAGGTAATAATTATTGTGACCCCATAGGTTGTGTGCAGCAATTTAAGTTATTACAAATCTTACCAAATAATATATGCATAAATTTTATGAATCATGTAGGCCTCATTAATGACAGCCAAGTTGTTATATTACATAAGACCTTCAAATGTGTATACCAAAAGCATTTTTAGTTTAATATAAAAATATCAACCAAGGCAACTTGAGTTGTTGAGTTATTGGTCAGAAACCGTCATTAAGTACAAGGTCAATGTGACCTTGACCTTGGACCCCTTGACCCCAAAATCAATAAGGGTCATCTGCTGGCAATGACCAATCATCATACCAAGTTTGAAGTTTCTAGGCCTAAGCGTTCTTAAGTTATTAATCGGAAACCGTATTTACCTACAAGGTCAATGTGACCTTTGACCCCTTGACCCAAAATCAATAGGGGTCATCTGCTGGTCATGACCAATCACCATACCAAGTTTGAAGTGCCTAGACCTAAGTGTTCTTTAGTTATTGATCAGAAACCGTTTTTACTTACAAGGTCAATGTGACCTTGACCTTTGACCCCTTGACCCCAAAATCAATAGGGGTCATCTGCTGGTCATGACCAATCATCATACAAAGTTTGAAGTTCCTAGGCCTAGGGGTTCTTAAGTTATTGATCGGAAACCGTTTTTACCTACAAGGTCAATGTGACCTTGACCTTTGACCCCTTGACCCAAAACTCAATAGGGGTCATCTGCTGGTCATGACCAATCACCATACCAAGTTTAAAGTTCCTAGGCCTAGGGGTTCTTAAGTTATTGATCGGAAATCGTTTTTACCTACAAGGTCAATGTGACCTTGACCTTTGACCCCTTAACCCCAAAATCAATAAGGGTCATCTACTGGTCATGACCAATCACCATACCAAGTTTGAAGTTCCTAGGCCTAACGGTTCTTAAGTTATTGATCGGAAACCGTTTTTACCTAAGAGGTCAATGTGACCTTGACCTTTGACCCCAAAATCAATAGGAGACATCTACTGATTATGACCAATCACCATATCAAGTTTGAAGTCCCTAGGCCTAGGGGTTCTTTAGTTATTCATCGGAAACTGTTTTTACCTACAAGGTCAATGTGACCTTGACCTTTGACCCCTTAACCCCAAAATCAATAGGGGTCATCTACTGATCATGACCAATCACCATACCAAGTTTGAAGTTCCTAGGCCTTAAGGTTCTTTAGTTATCACTCGGAAACCGTTTTTGCTTACAAGGTCAATGTGACCTTGACCTTTGACCCCTTGACCCCAAAATCAATAGGGGTCATCTACTGATCATGACCAATCACCATACCAAGTTTGAAGTTCCTAGGCCTTAAGGTTCTTTAGTTATCACTCGGAAACCATTTTTGCTTACAAGGTCAATGTGACCTTGACCTTTGACCCCTTGACCCCAAAATCAATAGGGGTCATCTACTGGTCATGACCAATCACCATACCAAGTTTGAAGTTCCTAGGCCTAAGGGTTCTTTAGTTATCACTCGGAAACCATTTGGTCTACGGACCGACGGACCGACAGACCGACGGACCGACGGACCGACAAGTGCAAAGCAATATACCCCCTCTTCTTCGAAGTGGGGGCATAATAAACAAATTGTGCTGCTAATAAGACTAAAACTTGTGAATTTATTGTGTGTAAAAACTCCCTATTACACTAACTGCTCTACCTAAAATTTGACACAAAACCTAAATTGTGCAATTGTCAACCATATAATAGTAACTGTCTGTGAAAATGAATTCTTGACTATAAAAATGACAAAAACGTCATATGTGATACACAGTGAAAAAGACACCTTTCCAGAAATAATACTAAAAATAACCCTGTCCCACAGAAAACTTTATATAACTATAATTGTGTATACAACTTTAATGTTAGTCACCTGGATACAGAGTCCAAGATGCTGAAAACAATAACCAACACTACAATACATATATAAACATAAACAACATAATATTATACAAGATATCTATACTGTTTCCGAGCAGTTTACGGCCCGAAATCGCACATTTTTACAAAATATGGAAAAAAAAATTGTCAAGGGAAGAGACAAAAATTTGACATAGCACAATTAGGTACCTGTCCAGCATTACCATGTTTTTGATTTTGTTCTTATTCTTTACTTTTTAATTGGAATACAGGCTTTTATTCATTATATCTAACAAGGGTAGCAGTTTTTCAGACTTTTTCTTCATTTTGAATTTAATTCGGAAATGTAAGCAATGTGAAGGTGATTTTATCATAGAGATAGAACTTTCATGTCTGCAAGTAATTATTCAAAAGTACTATTTACCTGGAATGGGACATCCATTTAATAATTGCCCATGAAATTTGAACCTGAATTCCCAAGGTGTTGCTTATTTTTTATTGTTTCAAGAAAAATAGACCATACTTGAGGGAAATGATTAAAGGCCGATAACTGCTAGGGTCCGGGAACTACTTGGAAACCAGTACACATTACGAGTGTCTGAAATTAAGGGCATTGCGGACTTCAATTCCATGGAAAACCAATATAGACTTATATAAATATTCCTGAAACATTTTTCTTAATACAAACATTTAGATACATAATTATTGTCTATGTGTTAACCCTTAACACAGGTTATTAGTGTGGAAACAAGCCCTACCTCCCAGGGACCCACCACCCAGGACCCTCTATACTACCCAAATATCCTGAAAACCCTAAAAACACAAATTTATCATTCAACATACATGTGAATATAAAATCATACAATTCTAACAAGAAATATCTACATTGTATTTATATTTTTGTTAGAATTGTACGATGTTGGGGAGGGGGGTGGTGCAGGGGGGCTCTGTGGGTAGGACTTGGTCCCATCTTGACAACCTGTGACCCTTACCACATTCAATATCATAAATATACCTGATTAGCAGAAAGTGAGGTGAAAATATTTTGTAAACAATCAGTCACTATTCATTAACACTTGTTACAAAGTGACGTGAAAATAATCCAACAAAATTAGTCTCCAATTAGTCAAACTTATTACAAACAACATGATGTGAGTACTATTTCTATTATGGTAAAGCTAGAACTTACTCTAATGATTCCATCTCAGATGCATGCAGGAATGCTTGGTGATCACAGTGTAGGACAAATATCATTGGTGCCAATAACTCGTGCATCCCCTGAAAATATAACCAACATTAATATTAACATAGTTTTTCTTTTTATATCATCATTTCAAATAATTATTTAAGTAAAATGAGATTTTTCTTTCCATTTTATGAAGTACTTCATTTTATTTAAAAACATTATTTAACAAGAGCTGTCAGCTTGATTATTCATAAAACAAGAGCCTGGATAATGTAAGAATTTTCTTAATTCATTTCAAAATGTTAACAGTACTAAACCATATAAAAAAAATTTCTTTATTTCTACATGGATTTTTATAAAAATATTTTCAGATGTATTTTTAGTCAATTTATACTATTTGCTTTGATTCTTAGTTCATTATTTTCTTATAGATCCAATTAACAAATCTTGAAATAAATTTTTATAATTATCTATCACAATATTATAATATCATAAAGCAAAGATGTCTTATTATTCATAAATGACAAATTGCAGCTAATAATAGGCATTTTAATATATTAAAATCTAATGAAAACATTAATCAAACGAAATAAAATTGGGCAACCAAAAAAACTGAAAAAAGTATATATCTGATTAAAGCTTGCACTGAATTTGTGAAACAAACAGGATAAAAAAACAACATGATGCTTACAACACCTTTTCTATAATACTCATCACACAAACAGAAGTAAACAATGATAAACTTTTATGAAACGTCCTAATATTAATTGTTACCATGCTAAATATTGTACATGGACTTGTCCATCTTTCAATCTGGACAAAACTTTTAATCTTTTTTAGTGAAATTTCAAAATATTTACTGACTCACTAAGAATAGCAAACAGTGCAGATCATGATCAGACGGCAAAGATGTAGTGGGTGATCTTGGTCTGCACTTATTGCATGTATAAATTTGATCACCGCCAGGAGGGTAAGAATCCACAAATCTTCTAAATATTGTAAAGATAGACTGACATATTTGTTTTAAAAATTACACAACATTTAACAATTAAATAAGAATAATAGAACAGCATTAAATTGTGCAAAACTAATTAGTGTTGATTGGAAAAAAAAATAATGAAAAAAAAAAGGAAGAAATAATTACAGGTGAAATTGAGAACTCTATTGTTTTAAGCAAGTGTTTTCTAAGCAGACTATTTCAAAATACCTCTATTGCTATGACCAGCTATTACATAAATTATCCTTATTATAATCTGATTTAATTGCAATGCATGGACAATGATTGCTTGATAATAAAATCACATACATGCTTTCCGGTATTATTGTTAATTTAATATATCTGGTCTAAAAAACATACAGATCAAATCTTTTCCATCTTTTCATCACATTAAAAAAGAAAATAACAGAAAGAAAAAGGTTTTGATAATTTAAAGGGATAAATAAACAAAAACCCACTTGTTAGAAAAACATTTCTTTGCAGGATCCCAAAATTTGCATGAAAAAAAATGGAGAAAATTTTCAAAAACACCTTTTTAGTTGAAAGAACTCCTACTTTTCAAAATGTAACTTTAACAAGAGCTGTCCGTAAGACAGCGCGCTCGACTTTTTTATTGCTTGCCAATAAAAAAAGTTTTTGCAGTAAAAGGCAATACAAGAATCTCTGTATTTTTAAAGTGAACAATGGCCATGAGCATTAAGATATTTAGTGAAGAATTATTTTACTGAATTGTGTGATACCCTTGAACACTGCAGGTTCAGTGGATAGGAATGAATTTTTTTAGATTTTTTAAGTTTTTTAGTGCTTGCCTATAATACAAAACATTGACAGTTAAGGGCCATAATTCAAATAAAATCTTTGACAGAATTACCTTCTCCTGGACATGTTTGGGAATCATGATTGTAAACAAGTATTCCAACTTTCAAATTAATATCTCAAACAGTTCAGTCAAAAAGTGGACTGGTACTAAAAACTTAACCAAGATTCTAAGTCGATAAAAGGCCTTAATTTTTAAAACAAATCCTTGACAGAGTTACCTTCTCTTGCGTACAGATGGGGGTAATGATGTGAAATAGCATTAAAAGTTTCAAAGCAATATTCTCAAAGGGTTAAGGCAATAAGTGGATTTTACCCATATTCAATGTATTTTCTAAGTCAAAAAGGGGCATAATTCTGTCAAAAACCTTGACAGAGTTATGTCCTCTTGTCTGTTGATGAAGGTCGTGATGGTAAACAAGTATGGTCAGTTTCAAAGCAATACCTCCAATGGTTTTGAAATAAAGTGAGGTGGTACAAAAAACTTAACCAAGCTCAATACACTTTCTAAGTCAAAAAAGGGCCATAATTCTGTCAAAAACCTTGACAGAGTTATGTACTCTTGTCTGTAGATGGAGGTTATGATGGTGAACAAGTATGGTAAGTTTCAAAGCCATACTTGTAATACTTCTGAAATAAAGTGGGGTGGTACGAAAAACTTAACCAAGGAGTGACGCCAACGCCGACGCCGACGCCGACGCCGACGCCGGGGCGAGTAGGATAGCTCCCCTTTTCATAGAAAAGTCGAGCTAATAAAATTAATTTTATGAAAAATCCCACAAGAATCCATTTAGAGTACCAATTTTTACCGACCTGTCTATATGATAATGAGTCATGTTCTCTCGCGTAACAAAATAAGACATTGATCATCATGTCCCGAACATCCTCCGAGTGGTAAAACTGTATCTCGGGAAAACTACAGAAAAACAAAATACAAAGCTATATCATACTACACTTAACCCTAGCTTCTGCTAAAATAAAACTTCCAATCCCAGTTTTATTTTCCGGCAGCATGTACAAGATTCCGAAAAAAATATTTTCCTTGAATCAAAAAAATAAAAAAAATTTGCCGCTATTTCATAGATGGCAAAATGTTCTAAAAATAGCTACCTGAAAAGTTATACAAATGTATATAATCAGCATACAGTCAAACCTTGTTTAAGCATCCAGTCAGTTAGTGTGGTATTAATATGGGTGTTTATGAAAGGTGGTTGTTTAATGGGGAATAAATGTCATAAGAATATAATATTATAATAGGAAAATAAATAAATGTCATGTTTAGTTCAAAACTAACTGTTACACAGAGGTGCCTGTAAACACAGGTTTGACTGTTGTAATAATGTGGAAGTGTAAAAAGGGTTTTGTGTACAGGCAAAATTATTGCATGCATCTACAATATTTATGTATACTATGAAAACAAATGCATTTTTTCACAACTATGAAAACAAATGCATTTTTTCACAATTCACAATTACAAAATTTCATATTTTACTTTTATTTTTAAAACCTTCAAGGATTTAATTTTGATCAAAGAAAATAAAATAAATTCTCCCCAAACCCTCTCTTACTTAAATGAAAACTTGATTTCATAGTATACATATAAAACAAAGTTACTACACATATGCTATTATGCTTTCTAGATCTGTGTTCAATTACAAAATTCTATATAACAATTTTCTTTTTAACCTTTTTCAAACTTTTGTCTTTTATATAATTTTTTTTTGCTCAATGAACACAGGCCCAGTTCTCAATAAAATGAAAGTCAATATTACTTAAGCACAAAAAATAATGAAACATTCAAAATCGTTTGAGATGTAAAAGCCTCAGATAACATAAACTGATGTATTTTGTTCACAAATGATTACAACCTAAACTTTTATATTTTAAAGTGTGTTCCATAAACTGCAAGAAATCAAATCTTAGTATCATATTATTTCTTTTTTTAATTAACATTTACATCATACTGACAGAAAAATACACCGACAGGAAAAAATTCAATGCTTACTTATTTTAGACAATAAAATACTGGTAAATAGATTTGTTTTTATAGTACATAAACTTTGAGCCTTAACTCAATAAACTAAATTACATCAGTAAAAATGTTTTGTATATCTGAGACCTTGACCCTAGTTTACAATATTAATCAAAATGCCATTCACTACATTCAATAAAGCATGCCTAAATAAATAAACAAAAACACTATAATACTCTACAAAACAATATATGAACCTTATCACAGTGATCAAAGAAGCTGTATTCATAAATCTCATTCAGTTTTTGTCCAGTTAACTAAATATGTCCTATATTTATTTGTCTGCCATCGGCCTGCCATTATTTCTTTGTTTTAACTTTTAACCCACTCCAATATGTCCCCTATCTTATAGTAACATTCAAGCTTTATCAGTGGTGCAATACTTAAAAAGTCATCATTTAAGACCTAAGCAAACACTTTTTATCTTCTATGAGTTAGATCGAACTTTGATTAATGGGCATCTAAGAAACTCAATCCTTTTTTTTTCAGTAAAAGAAATATCAAAGACAAATTTCAAAGCCAAATAAACTCAAATTGTTCAAATTTTCAGATTTTGAATCCATTCTCAAAAACTCTGAGTCCTAAAAGAGATTTCAAATGCAAGCGTCTGGATCACTGTGATCAGTTGCTATGGTGACAATGCTTTGAGAAACCTGTCTGTATGAAACTTCAGGGTTTTGTTTGGCATATATAAACAATATATCAACCATGAGGTTTCTCAACTGGTTAGACTGAAAGAACTCGATCCTCGGATACCTGTGAAACATGTGAGAAAAAAAGAAGAAGAAATGCATTTTAACAATCTAAATACTTTGGAGTTTTTTTCATAAATTGACAAACAACAATAAATCAAACTTATTTCAGTTATCTATCTTTGAATAATGAGTATAAGTGACAGCATCAAGGAAGAGAGATTGCATCTTATGACTCAAATTTTGACATAACTTTTATTTCATTGTGTTTTGATGCATTTACTGTAATTGGTAAGTCTGTTTGTTTGTTTGATTGGGTTTTACATCACACCTACACAGTATAGGTCATATAGCGATGTTCCAGGTTTGCTGGTAGAGGACAATTTCAGGTGCCTTCCGTGCATTATTTCAGGCATGATTGGGCAACTGAGTAGAACCACAGACGTTCGGTAAAATGGGAAGTAGCATGCAAAATTCACTATCGTTTATGTACAGATTCCATCAAAGCAAGATTGAAACATTTGTCATCCTTGGTGACCTTTTAGCATCCATGTTGCTATTATAATGTCAAAGTTTAAAATCAAATGAAAGTTCAAGTGATAACATATACATAGTCACCGAGACAAAATTATCCAAAGTAGCTTGATTCAATCCCCTGTCCAGTAACTGCTGCAATCTTTATTGATATTTCTTTACTGAACATGCATATATCATATATCTAAATGAATATTTTTATTTCCTCTGTATACTTACGTTCTTATGACATCTTGTTTGATGGTCAGTCTCAACTCATTGTCTAAGAAAAATCTGTTCCATGGACTCTGTAACACATGAAATGAAAACATACTTCATACTGACAAGTTTCATCACCTGGGAATGTTTATTTAGTATATATTTTGGTTTAAATGTTATGTTATTCCAACTTTTAAATGGATTCAAATTTGATATGGTAAAAAATATCTTGCATAATTATTAAGAAAACACTCAGATCACTGAGCAACAGGATCAATTTACTGACAAAGTTGACACTTATTTTCACTTGTCAGTATGTGTCCATTCAATGGTCATCTTACCTAAACAAATAAGTATAAATTATTTAGTTACTTAGTAGACAGACTTATCTTGCTCTGAATTTAAAACTCACAGGTGTTAATTTGAAAGAATTTGATATTGAGATAATAAAATTGATCAGTCAATAATAAAGAGACTAGTCAGAACACAGGCAAGCCAATTTTGTTATCATCACTTAAAGTGTGAATTGGTCCATAATGGAAGGAATAGTGTTTAGTATCATATATGACAACAAATCATGAAAGAGTTAAAGATGGATGTTGTTGCTAAGTGTAAAATACATGATCTGTTATTGCATGTATGTATATAGCCCATAATACATGTATATTGTTCTACAACAAAATGTTATTCCTTATCACATAAATTTTCATCACTTAAAATTGTATCAACAATTTTTTCAAGAAATATCTGAAACGAATATTCAAATGATATATTTCTAATGTTTTTATCAATATTTTAGAAAGCTAAAATGTGCCCATTGTAGACCAATATACTTAATCTATTCTGGTTTTGAGTTCATTTTTTTTTATTTCAGATAGCATAACTTGGCCACTTACCAAAACTGATAATACTATAATAAACAATCAACCAGTTATTAATCCCACTTGAATAAAATCAATTTTTTATTTTACAATAATAAGAATACCAGGAAAATAGGAAAATATGAGCCATGCCATGACAAGACCAACATAATGTATTTGCGAACAGCATGGATCCAGACCCGCCTGTGCATCCATCCAGTCTGATCAAGATCCATGCTGTTCGCTATCAGTTTCTCTGCTTGTTATAGGGTTTGTAAGCGAACAGCATGGATCCTGAACAGACTGGTCTGGATCCATGCTGGTCGCAAACGAATTACGTTGGTTTCATCAAGGCACGGCTCAATTATGAAGTACAGAAATCTCACCTCATCCTCCTGTGATAACGGGTTATTAAATGTTAGATCTACTGTATCCACTGCTTTACGTGGGTTCACAATCAACTGTTGACATACAAACAAAAGTGAATTATGAAATAATTACAAATGATAGTACAGATTTTTAGATATATCATTTCAATAAAATATAATCAATGTCCTTTTATAGATTTTGTTTTGTTTTGTTGGATTTTATGTAAAATCAAAACTGTAAAGGTCAGAAGGCCACTTTCCATGATTCCAAGCGAAGGCAGACCTAACGTCACAAATGTTTGGTATTTTATATAATCATTCAGTAAAAATAAACGCTTTTCTTTAGCTTTTGACCTTTTGTCTTTTTCAGAAAAAATTGACCTTTTTTTATTTTTATTTTTAATGTTCAGTATTATAACATTTATTAATATTTCTTCTGTTATTTTTATAGATGACTCTTGGAAGCCAAAACAACAACTCAAGTAAAGTGTTAGAACAATCACCACATAACTTGTCAGCCTTTAAAGCAGATACTGGTGAGCAATTAAAACTCTATTAGGTTAAATACCTTATCTTTAAGGTCTTTGTATTTACTTCGTAACTGTTTAGTCTTTGCTATCCACATTGAGGGCTCTTCAGGTAAAACACCAAGAAATAACTGTAATGTATATAAGTGATATTGTATAAACATGCTTTAACAAAATATAGAAATAAGAAATAAATTGTTTAAACAAGAATTTTATGATTTACTAAATAAGAAAGATCAATGGTATATAATTTATAAACAATTTAAGTTTTAAATACCAAAAACAAAATGTTTAAAAACAAGACTGATGTGTTTTTAAAACACAGTCACCAGTTCAAATTTGATGATATGCAAGAACATATATTTTTTTATTCAGTCACTTTGACCTTATTGACATGAAAGCATATCATTAAATATCTGTATCTGCCATGCAACCAGTGTAGACCAAAACCAGCCAGCATATCAATGCCTTCTAAACTGGTATGCACTGTAAGCTATACAGTCAGACCTTCTTTAGATATTTTTCCTAAAAATAATGAATGTTTTGGTCCAGATTAAAAGATGGACAAGTCCATTTCAGATACAATGTATTTAGAATTGTCAGGATAGATGTCACACTTACCTTCCAAGAAATACTCCTGAATCTACTGCTACGTAAATTTCCCTTCATCGCGTAATTTCTCAGGTGCCGCAGATATCCTTGTTTCATGAACAATTTCTCCCATTCTAAACTGTAATTACATATTGACATGTATACAAATGTAACTGATATTGATAAAATTCAATTAGTTAGAATGCCACTATTCTCATTATCTTAATTACATGATATTGTCATATACCAAATTGGAACAGAAAATATATCTGTCGGGAATACAGTGGTGGTTAATTATAACGAACATTATTAAAGTAGGAGGCTTGAATATTGTCAATTCTGAAGCATGACCCTCATATTTTCAGTAATTTTGGCATTGCACCTATTCACCCAGCAACACAATAAGGTGAAGCTTTTTTGGTCTGCTTAATGAAATCACATGAAAAGACGGACTTTGTGCCCTGCTTCAAAAAATGTTGAAAATAAGCTAAAATTTTAATATGTGAAAATGCACCATTTATTTCACCATATTGTTGTGACTTCAACTGTACATGTTTTAGTTCACCAGTAGTTTTGCATACAATCATAATGATAAATATATACATAAAAATATGATATATTACAGGAATAAAGATGCCATGCTTCAATACGTAGATAATACATTCTGTACCATCAGGTACTGTATGTTATATCTGTTTGAGAGAATATGCCACTGTATACAGTAATCAATTAACTATTATAAAATATTTAGTATGTTATACCTGAATAACTACACTCTAAATAGATTCAAAGAAAGATTTCATCTTTTTTTAAAGAGGCTGGTTTCTACAGAAGATTACTACATAAATATCCTTAAACTTTCAACATGCTGGAACCAAGTGTTTTGCCTTAACCTCCAGTATTCATTTGCACAGTCTGACCAGGCTCTAGTCTACTTGTAGATGAATTTTAATATTTAAAACAAGGAAATTCCATTACACAAATTCAGCCAGTGAAAGGTATTAAAGTATTAAGAACACTAAATCATGACTATCATTCCCCTATAGGAAACAATCCATATGTATATTATCACAGGTGTAACTAGGTCTGAAGAGGTGTACACCATGTAGCCAGGTCAAGAACTACTCTCTACAAGCCAAACAAATATTGATATGAAAAAAATAATTTAAAACATGATAGTTATCATTGATATATAACAGATCAATAAAAAAATCCAGCCTACTTGCCATCTGTAATAATACACTATATACAAATATCTTTTTGGGGTACAAGTTCCTGACCTTGCTACACACCGTACACCTGTAGAATATATGGGTAACCATTGATGACTATAAATAACAGTATATAAAACATTGGCGAAATATTACAAATCTTACCTATAAGAATGTGTTATACTTGTAATAGTGGGCTCCGTATCACAGGCTGTTGTATCCATACTGTTCTCACTGTCCACACTCGTATAACTGCTACGTCGTACATGTATGTTGTTGTTGTCTTCATGTGGAGGAACCTCTGTAAAATGATTTAATGTGTGTTTATGGTTAATTGGTTATATGGTTAATTGGTTAACCTGTTTTGACTTTTTAATGTTTTACTCTAGACTAACAGTCTAATATTGAGCATCAATTTTGGAAATTTTCATGAAAAGTTGATGAATACATGACTGATTGTATCGTACAATTACATCATATTAAATGTTTATAATACTGAAAGTTTCTTATTCAATTCCCTAAAGAATGTTTGTTTTCATAATTATCATCTGTGACTTCAAACATTAGAACTTGAAGTCGTAAAGGACTTAATAGAATCTAAAACTTGGACTGAAAGTTGTAGAGCTATCCAGTCAGGGCAAGCATAATACTTCTAAAATGCAACAACAAATTTATAAAATGGATACCTATGGGTACCTGAGTATAATCAAAGAACTTCAGTTAGGCAGTTTTACAGCATTCTCAAATGACAGAATTCAATGTCACAGACTGAAGGATTTTAAACCAAAAGCCAAGGGAGGCAAGTAATTTTGTAGTCAATAAACTTTAGCAGTCTGTTGCAAATTAAGCCCTTATAAAATTAAAAAAAAAATCACCTTGTATTTTTTCCCCAAATCCATCTAAAGTATTAAGAATATCTTCCTTGCTGGGCGGCTGTGCCGGGACCGGTGGCAGGTTCTCATTTGTCGGACTTTTTAACTTTGTTCCACTCATAGACCTTAAACGATTCAACATCTTGTCCATCTTTCTTTAATGTATGTCCTTAATATACCATACCACCTGAAGATACATAAGACTTAAGTACCTGTCTATATTGATCACTGATTCGGCTTAATATCAAATAAAAAGTATAATATTTAAGGTAGTTTTACTGTAAGCATTCCCACCAGAAAATTCTAACATTGGCCAATATCGTAGCCAATTGGTTATAATTCCAGAACATTATTTTTTCGAAATCTTGAGCATAAGATTATTAACAATCACTCATCCTTTATTGCTATGTAATATATTCCGGTTATAAATGGTTAAAAAATATTGAATACCAAAGACTGAGAAAAAAAGCATTCTAGAAATGACCGATTTATTACGATATTGGGCGATGTTAAATTTTTTTTTTTGGCAGAAAAGCATTACAGTATTAGACAACCTTAAATATATTTAATATAACATTTTATTGCAACAAGTATCTGTCTGACATCAACTCAACACTAGTGGAATAGGCTACTTACAAAATGTAACTCAATTGTTTGCTGTTATGAGCAAGCAAATAAGGTATGGAAAAACAAGAAGGCTTTGATAGCCATGTATTGTTCACCTGAGTTTATACGAAGATTTGCAATGTTTCTCTGTACACAAAACCCATCATTACCCCATTCAGGCCTTCATTTTTCCTATGTACATTTAGAGAAGAATTCTTTTTTATTTTTGGATGCTATTATAAGGTTCTAGAGTTGACCTGAACCAAAAATCCTATTCTATTGGAACTGACTTTTTAACAACTTTGGAAGGGTAAAACCCAAACAATATTCAAAATTTTTTGAATGGTTTCTGGGGTAAATTCGACTTTGACAACCAACTCATTAAGTCTAGACAAACTGATAACAAAAAGCAATCACACTTATACACTCCATGCTCAGGAAAGCTAACAAGAGGGCCATGATGGCCCTGAGATCGCTCACCTGTATATAGGCCCCCGGAGCGGGGCAAGTTTAAACCCCAGGGCTTTTATTTGAACAAACTTGGAAGACACTCATTAGAAGATGTTTCACAATGTTAAGTTTTTACTACACTAATGAAAAACAATGATCTCACCCGCCCCCCGTATTTAAACAAACTTGGTAGACATCCATAAGAAGATATTTCATGCTAAACATCTAAGCTCTAGCTTATTGGGTTTTTTAAAAGAAGATTTTTTAAGTTTTTACTCAACACACATATAGTTAAAAACAATGACACCCCTAGGGCGGGCCAGTTTTGACTCCAGGGCTTTTATTTAAACAAACTTTGTAGACGTTTACTAGAAGATGTTTCATGCTTAATATCTAAACTCTAGCTATTTAGGTTTTTTCAAAGAAGATTTTTTAAGTTTTTACTATATGCATATAAGGAAAATCAAGACCCCCCGGGGCGGGGCAAATTTTGACCCAAGGGCTATTATTTGAACAAACTTTGTAGACACTCACTAAAAGATGTTTCATGCTTAATATCTAAACTCTAGCTATTTCGGTTTTTTCAAAAAGGATTATTTAAGTTTTTGCTATACACATATAAGGAAAATCAATGACCCCGGGGCGGGGCCAATTTCGACCCAAGGGCTTTTATTTGAATAAACTTGGTAGACACCCATTAGAAGATGTTTCATGCTGAATATCTTAGCTCTAGCTCTTTGAGTTCTTTCAAAGAAGATTTTTTAAGTTTTTACTATATGCATATAGGAAAAAATCAATGATCCCCTGGGGCGGGCCAATTTTGACCCCAGGGCTTTTATTTGAACAAACTTGGTACACACTCATTAGAAGATGTTTTATGCTGAATATCTTAGCTCTAGCTCTTTGGGTTCTTTAAAAGAAGAATTTTTAAGTTTTTACTTTATGCATATAGGGAAAATCAATGACCCCCTTGGGCGGGGCCAATTTTGACCCCAGGGATTTTATTTGAACAAACTTGGTAGACACTCACTAGATGATGTTTCATGCCAAATATCTAAGCCTTAGCTCTTGGGGTTTTTTAAAAGAAGATATTTAAAGTTTTTTCTTTCGGTTGCCATGGCAACCAGAGTTCTGCATGGAATTAAATTCTTTGAACAATTTTTAAAGGTGACCACCAAAGGAACATTCCTATGAAGTTTGGATGAAATTGGCTTAGTGGTTTATGAGGAGATGTCATATAAGTAAAAGTTTACGGACGGACGGACGTACGCCGGACGAAAAGCGATCACAAAAGCTCACCCTGTCACTTTGTGACAGGTGAGCTAAAAATCAACACTACTAATATAACAAGAGCTGTCACAGGAGACAGGAAAGCTCAACTAATAAAATACAGGATGCAGTAAGGGAGACAAAACTATGATTATGATATAAATATATTTCTTTTTATGATTAGAAGTTATAGTTGTTAACATCAATTCCAAGTTCAAAGGGGAATAATTCTAGAAATAGTCACACTAGAGTTATGGACCTTGTCATACAACATGTGTGTAATGATAAGAAATATATATTTGAAGTTTGAAGAAAATTCCTTAAAAAATAAAGAAGTTATAATATTTCTTACAAAAAAATCTAAGTTCAAAGGGAGACAAATCTGAAATTGGTGCTAGACTTATGAACCTTGTCACATAAAATGTGACTGATGATAAGGAACATATATTTAAAGTATGAAGTTGATACCTTAAGAAATGAAAAAGTTTTAGTAAAATAGTATTTTTTAAGGACAATTCTAAGTTCAAGGGGAAATAAATCTGAAAATATTGGTGCTAGTGTTATGAACCATGTCACATAAGATGTGGTTGATTATAAGGAACATATATTTGAAGTATGAAGTTGATACCTTAAGAAATAAAGAAGTTACAGTAAAAAATAGTATTTTTTAAGAAAAATTCTAAGTTCAAGGGGAGATAAATCTGATAATTTTAGTGCTAGAGTTATGAACCTTGTCACATAAGATGTGGTTGATGGTAAGGAACATATATTTGAAATTTGGAGTTGATACCTTATGAAATGACAAAGTTATAGTGAAAAATATTTTACTGCACCAAAACTTTAATCTGAAATCTGGACGCGGACACAGACACCGGGAAGAGTAGGACAGCACTCCATATACATGTCCTTCGTATAGTCGAGCTAAAAATGTCCGGATAATAATCTACAACGACCGGCTCTCTCACTTCACATACTGTTAATTTGAGAGTAAATCTCGCCACCAGCATTGTTAATAGAAAAAAATCATTTCACCAGCATTGTTTATTGGAAAATAAACTATATTGGACAACCAAACACGAGCCAGTGGTTGATTATTATTATAATGATTACATAACTATTATTATTACATCTGTCTGCCGAGTAATTTATTGATTCAAGTGGTATTGTAATTTTCTCTGCACATTTTCCAATTAAGCAAGGCAATCATTTTATCGTTTATATAGGCATCTCAGACTATTCATTATGACAAGGTCTTAGACTTTATGTTGATTTCTAAAATACACGCAAATTAACTTTTGCTTTTCTTATTCATTATCTAAAGGTTAAGTCTTGTCTCAGGGTCTGATTCAAATTCTTTGCCAAGTTAACTTCTGTTTAAGGTAGTCTTACTGTAATGCTTTCCAGCCTAACAAATTCTAACATCAGCCAAAATCGTAGCAAATTGGTTTTCCAGAACATTTTTTTTCCAAAATCTTGGGTATTGCATTATTTACAATTTATCTACTAAATCCCGGTTATAAACAGTTAAAAACATTGAATACCAAAGATTGTGAAAAACAATATTCTGGAAATGGCCCATCTATTACGATATTTGCCGCTGTTAGAAATTTTTTGGTGGGAAGGCATTATTATACAAGGGGCAGGACGTGAAGTGGTTGCACACTTGGTTCAAGCGAGCGAATTGGTTGCAAACTTGACAAAATGGCAAACACGGCGTGATTTTTTGAAACGTGAGAACGAATTTTTGCCAGGCAAGTGGGTTTCTTTGTTATTTTGAAGTTCATTAGTATGTCTATTCCATAATGCAATATATATACCACACTCGGTTTAAGGTTTCAGCATCCTAGATTCTGTTTTAACGAAGTTATTGAAGATATAAACTGATCATGTAGATATTTTGAAATTTGACTTGTGACAGTTCTGGTCGGTTTTTCTCCTAATTTATTCGAATTTGTAAGTTTTGAACTGCATTTAACAATTACAAAATATGTTTCTGTCAATGCAGTACAAATGGTTTAGTTCGCAAGTCCGAAGATAACGTTCAATACACAAAAATATATTGTTCAAGCACATTTTGGTTGCAGACTTATACTTCAAGCATTTTTGGTTGCAAACTTATTCTTATTCTATTGAAATCCATAGTAAAACTTTGCAAAAGGATTGTAGTAGTTTATATTTATTAACCTATTTTCAATGGCAATTATTGACATTTATGTTCTTTTACTTGTTTTTGTTATAATTGTTATTTATACTTTCTTCTTTTACAACAAGTATGCACTTTATGTTTCAAATTACATGGTTCTCAGTTCAATCATCAGTAAAAGCCTGCAAACAAAATAATAGCACATAGAAGAAAAATATTTATTGATACTTCAATTCTAAAATATGTCATCATATGTAAAATGCAAATGAAAACTACATACAAAAAAAATCGTATGTGAGAGTACTGCTGTATGAAAGTGCAGAATTATTTTCATTATAAACATAAGGACATGTGCTCACATACGATGTTACTAGGCAAAATTTCCAAAGTTTATCAAAACCACAATAAATGTTATTTTGTTTGTTTCGTATGTAAAGATCAGCAGTTGCTTTAGACATAAAGTATGTAAATGTACTTATAAACCAAAAGTTAAAATGACATGCTTGTTTACAATATTTCGGATTTGATGTACATATCATAATTATATGTCAATTGGTATTCTAAAAATTATTTTGACTATTAGATCATAATATAACTGATATACGATTGGTAATTTACATTGACAAAACTACTTAAAGTCATTGTTCGAGTTAGGGAATTTGGAAGATGTTTCGATTGGTCAATAATAAGGAACAATTTAAAGGCACATGTGAATAATG